GGGAAGTGATTATGCAGATCCCGTTGGTTCACTTGATTGCATGCTGTGTGCTCTCAGAGACACAAGGTAGTGACAGTGACTATAATAAGCTAAAAACCAGGACATGTCCTTGTTGGGATCAGAACAGGATTTAAAAATGCCTACTAAAAGGATAGGAAGAAGCCAGGCAGCACCCCGAGTGGGTATGGCAGCTGCTGTGGTCAGTGGTCCTGAGTAGGTGGTGTTTCTCAGCTCGTCTGCAAGCAGCCTGAGTGTCGCAGAGCTCTTCCCCGGTCCTAGTTGTCACTGATGCATGTGGAGATAATTTTTTCTTTCAGTGGTCAGATTTGACATGACAGTGATTTGCAAGGAGAGCCCCAAGGAGCTCCTTTACTGCACCTACAGGACCACAGTACTCTCTGCAGTTGGAGCCATGTTGCCCACATATGCATCCGGGTTGAATTCTGTTTTCTCCACAGGCTCGTTTGGAAGTGCACCGGTTTGGGATCATGGGTTATGGAAAGGGAAAGGAAAGAGTCCTGGAACAGGAGCGTGCCATCATGCTGGGTGCTAAGGTGAGGGGACATCTTCCATTAGCCACAGGGTGCAGAAAGAGCATCCCAGGGCAACAAAGGGAACACTGGGACATTTCACAAAACAAAAGCTGGCGATACATGTCCTTATTCTTTGATTTCAGCCTCCCAAAAAGAGTTATGTGAATTACAAGGTTTTACAGGAGCAAATCAAAGAAAAAAAGGCAGCAAAAGAAGAAGAGAAGAGAGTGGTAGGTGTGATGTGGGGAGCAGAAAGGCGGGGGTTATCTCCCACAGGGCTTGCTGGGGCTGTGGCCATGCCTGGAAGCATTCAGGAACACCACTGCTGAATGTTGGTTCCCTCCTCTCTGCCACCTACATTTCATGATGCCAGCCAAGGGATCTGCTGCTCACCTGCAAGGGCGGTTTTGAATAGTAGGCGCCTGTCCAGGTGATGCTGGCTCTTCCCCTCTCTTGGCTGCCCTTATGCATCTTACGTGTTTTATGTTGTAAAGCACATGAGGCCCTTTGCAAAGCCCCAAGAATAAGTATGACACTTGGGTCTTTTCACCTAGAATAGAAGACTTTACTTTTGGTGTTGGTCTTACCTGGAATAGCCTTTCACATTCTTGAAAGGGCTTCAGATTGAGACTTTGAAACAGTCATAGTTAGTAGGCCCATTTGAAAAAATGACTAAAAATAACTAGTACCTTGGTCACAAACCTCTTGCCCGTTTTTGAATCTGCATTCTCCATTACTGACCCATATATTATCTTTAATTCTGAAATCAGGCACAGGATACAGATATTTTCAAGAAAAAGAAGAGAAAGGGGCAGGAAGACAGGTGAGTGTGCTGGCAGGAGCCAGGGCTGTGCAGCATGGGTGAGCCTCGGTCAGTGTGGCGGCAGCACCTGTAATGTGTGAGTGTCCTCCCAGGTCCACAGGGGAAAGGTGGGTTTTAGTGAGTTGTCCCGACCCAGGGGCTTCCTTGGCACTGAAACTGGAACCCTCTGTTGTCAGAGACCAGGCCCCTTAGGGATTAGGGAGGAAGCTGGGCTGGAAGGGAGCCAGCAGAGGTCAGGTGGCCTGGGCGGCCACAGTGCGTGGCGGGGCTGTGAGGAGCCGGCCTTGCCTCGGCTTGCCTCTGCTTGCCTCTTGCCTTGTTCAAGCACTGCCTGCTCTTTCTTCAGTTCCTGTTTCCCACGTGACTTTTTTGTCTTGACCTTTTTTCCTGGATGCCTAGTGGTGCTTGCACATGCTGTAAAACGGTACTTTGTTCTGCCACAGCGATCCATGGAGTGCCCACTGTGTGCCAGGATGCAGGGGGCCAGGCACAGGTGTTGGTCCCCAGTCATGACCACACTGATGGGGTCCCTGTCCTCCAGGACTTGCGCTATAGGAAGGGAAGTGCCCCAAATAACACATACTGGTAGGCAAGGCAATGTCGGGTACTAGACTGTGAAGAGGCTGAAACAGCTTCCCAGGGAAGCTGGGAGGTCACTTGAGAGCAGTGACATCCATGTGCAGAACTGAGCAAAGGGAGGGCCAGCCTAGAAAGGTCAGTCTACTCCAAGGCCCTGAGGAGGAAGGCCTGCAGGACTGCATCAGGGTGGGTTCTGCAAGGATACTATAGCCTCAGTGCTACCAGCATCTGACCGCATATGGTACCTTTTTCTCACCTTGAATGTAGAAAATCCAAAAAGAAGCCGGTTTCTAGTACTTCATCAAGTGGACAAGTTGGACAGGTTGGAAAATTCAGAAATGGGACATTGATTCTGAGCCCCCTTGATATCAAGAAAATAAATTCTTCCAGAGTGGCTAAATGAAGTACTTTATCAGCTAACAAGAGGAGTGGGAACAGGTGATCCTGCTGGCACTGGGCCCTGCCAGACCCAGACTCCTCACATTCCACAAGAGAACCGGTGAGGCCGCGTTGCCAGCTGTTGGTGAGCACAGCAAATGTCACCTCCACTTCCTGCCTGGTACTTGGAGCACTTGCTTATGATGCAGTTTTCCATGATCACAAGGTAAATGCTAGTGATTGACATTAAATTGCCTTTTTACTTTTTGGGGGGTACTGGTGGTGTACGCCTTTTAACATTTGTGACTACTTTTACCTTATGAAAGAATTCAGAATGTGGTAATTATTCAGTTTTGTGGAAAAAAAGTTTTAATTTTTCAGCCCACTTTGTATATAAAGTCTACTTTGTAAGAAGTTATATAATAAAATATTATTTTGTATTTGTATTGACTGCTAAATAATAAAAGATGGTTTTAACATGTGCTTACTGCTCATGTGCCAGTGGATATTGTCTTGCGGAAGCCAGAACTTACAAGCCACACACATTTTTAATGATATCATCCTTACTTAAGGTGTCAACAGCTTCTCAAAGCTTGTGGCACATTAAAGAAACATTTTCAATGCTGGTACAATTATGGCTTTTTAATTGCCAAAAAATTCAGATCCCAGCCTAGCACGTAATCAAGTTTTGATCAACAACCCTCTGGGTGCCCTTAGCTGGCTGTTGCGTGGCTTTCAGTGGACTGTGGAGGATAGTGTGTGGGTAACTTGGATGAATGGAGCCTGCAGAACATGACAGGTGGCACTAGGAAGAATCTCAGGAGCTAGAAATGTGGTACTGGGGAAGAGGGGCCCCTGCCCATGAGCTGTGACAGCAGACAGGCTCTTGGCCAGGCCGACCAGAGTCCCCCACCTAGTCCGTTTTGGAAAAGCCTGCAATTCCAAGTATAAATCACCACACTTCACTGTGGTTTCTGCTTTTAACTTACTGCACAGGTATTTGAGGAGCAGTTTTGGGGCCAGTGGGCATTCTAGAAGCACTTTGAGGTGTAGGGGCAGAAATGATAAATACAGCCAAAGCAATTTGGATCCAGACTTCAGCTGGTGCTTGTTATTTCCTGTTGACAAGGCTCCAGCAAGGTCGGTAGCAGAAAGAAGTGTCTATGAAGTCATGACTGAGGTCTGTCCGGGGCAAGTGTGCACTTGCTGTGTCTGCATGCTGCCCCTTCCCTTGGCAGGGTGCTTCCTAGCACTACACGTTCAATGCACTCAGATCTGCAGGACACACGTGGCAGGGTGGCTGGCCCGCCCAAGGGAGACAGAGAGCCTATACAGGGGGCCTCAGGACAAGCTGAGCCTAGCAGGAAGGGGCTGCAGAGCCTGCTCCCTGCTGACAGAGTGGCTGGAAGTTTCCACTGGAGTGTGGAAACTCATCTTGACCATTTATGACCTGGTAATGATGTGAGGAGGTGTTTGCTTGTTAACCTGGAGCCAGCCTGAGAAGGGGTGCAGACGCCTCATCCCGGCTACCCCTGTGGTGTCCGGCACTGCCCACTCACCCTGGCTACCCCCATGGTGTCCGGCACTGCCCTCTCACCCTGGCTACCCCCATAGTGTCTGGCACTGCCCACTCACCCTCGCTACCCCCGTGGTGCTCAGCACTGCACACTCACCCCAGCTACCCCTGTGGTATCCAGCACTTCCCACTCACCCTGGCTACCCTGTGGTGCTCAGCACTACCCACTTGTCCCGGCTACCCCCATGGTGCTCGCACTGCCCACTCTGCACCCAAGCCCAGAGGCCCCAGTCCTGCTCTACACCCTTGTTCTGCGAGGTACTCCTTGACTAGCTGACTTCTCCCCCACTCCTGCACCCCACACTTGCTGTCCTCAAGCAAGAGCATGACCTTCCTGACCACCAGTTGCAAGTCAGTCATGCCAGGTGTGGTGAACACAGTGTTCCTTCCCTCCAGGGCTCATGGCTAGTGTGTGAGTGACATGGACATATGCAGAAGAGTCATGAGCAGCCCTGGAAGAGACAGAGCTCAGCTTAGGTCTGAACAGGCCTTCTGTGCGGGGAGTCCCCTGGGTGTGGAAGACTATCTGTGTACTGCTCCCACCTCTGCGGGCAGCTGTACTAGCAGTGAGCAGGACCCTGGGGCAAACAGGCCAGTGGGTGACTGGGACACTGAGAGTCACACACTGCCAGGCCATCTTGGCCCAGCGTCTCAGGACACATGGGGAAGAACAGCCAGCTGGGAGCAGTGTGTGTCTAGAGGAGAGGACTAGTCCCTTGACTGCCAGGAGCTGAGGGCAGACAGCCCTTCAGCTGTGAGTGCCTACAAGGATTGCCCCATCCCCTTCCCAGGTGACCACAGTCAGTGAATGGTGGTGGCTGGTACAAAGCCCAGTCTTATCACTGCAGCCCAGAACTCCAGAGGGGAGCTGGCCGAGACCTTGGTGGGCTGGCTGTCTTCCTCAGTATGAACTGCCTCCTTTCCTGGACTGTACATAACTCCAGCCTTGTTATCTTTGGCAAAAAATGAATTCCATGATCTCCTGGGCAACCTGCAAGTCACAGGCGACGAAAGAGCCTGGGCCCGCAAAGCAGAATCCCCTGACTTGCTCTGCCCTGCGGGAAAGCAGCAGCTGCCTCAGCAGTGGTTACAGACCACATCTGTCTTCTAGTTGGCAGTGTCAAAAGAATTTATTTCAAATCTGCTTAAGACTGTGGTAAAACTCAAGTTTCCCAAAAGGTAATACAGAAATTCCAACCAACCCCCAAAGACCAGAAAACACAGTGTTTGCAATTCAAAAAATACAAACGCTTGTGGATACCAATACAAAAACTAGAAAAAATCACTTTTCTTGCCACTGCCCACCCTCCCTGTTTTCAGTGGAACGTGAACAGCCACAGGACCAAGAGCTGCCACCAGACACCAACCCCTGGGGATAGAAAGTGATGTGGAGTGGGGGAGCAGAGTAGGGACAGAAAGTGATGTGGAGTTGGGGAGTAGGGAGTGGGGCAAGGACAGGCAGGGAATGGAAGTTCTGTCGACAGCCAAAACAAGGACACACAGCTTTTTGCTTCTTGTTAAATTCCTTTGCCAAAGTCAAACAAACACCTCTCATGCTCAACAGACAGCTCGGTGCAAAGGCAGCACCTCTACATCATGCATTGCGTGTCCGCTTCGCCTGCCCCTCCTCTCAGTGCTGAGCAAGCAGGGCTCGGGAGTCTAGCCCACGGACGGGGTGCTGAAAGGCTGGCCTGTACTGGCCCCGCGTCCCCTTCCACAGCCGCCAGCGGCCCCTTTTCCACCCTGAAGTCTGTCTCTGGCCTCTCCTCAGGGCCTGTCTTGCTGCCACAAGCTCCTGGGCCTCCCCAGGACTAGATTAGCAGCTATGCCCTCCATGAGCTGCGCCCTTGAGAGAAGAATGTCGCATTCAGATGAGACTTACCTGGAGTCAATATCATTCATAGGAAAGTTGGGGACCTCCCTGTCCCCCACTTAGTCATATAGCTCAGGCCAATGCAGTTCCAGCCATCTGCAGGGGTCTGAAAGCAACCCGTGTCCAGTCAGCTCTTCTTCTAGCCCATGCAGCCGTGGCCCCAGTGCAGCTGCACTGCATCACACCGTCCCGTGGCCGCAAAGCCACTCTATGCCGAGCACTGGAGACAGAGGAGATGCAGTGGGTTGGCCCTGCTCACAGACCTCGACACCGAGGAGGCAGGAAGCCAGGCTGTGGCCTTCCTGGCCTAAGGGGGCTTCCGCCTGCCTGCAGCACTAACCTGGAGATTGCTCATGGCCTTGAGCAGAGAACCACTAACAGTCTGGTCACAGGAAATCTGTCCTGCATGCCTCTTACCCTCCCCAGGCCAGGTAGCTGTGTGACCAGTACTTAACCCTGTCACAAGGAGGCGTGGGTGGAAGACACTGAAGTCGGAGAATGCTGGAAAATCACCACCCAGGTTTGGTCCGTCGAATGTGGGCCATTAGCCCAGGCTGCAGAGGTGAGACTGCACGTCCTTTAAAAGGTACTCCTCCATTATCCTCAGCACAGCAGAGGAGGTAGGGTATCATGACCAGTCCCATTTTCAGGCGGGGATTCTGAGGTACGAAAGATAAGAGATTTGCCCCCACCCATGCCATAAACCAATATCAAAAGTCAGGTCAAGAGAAATGAGCATCTGAGGGCTGCAGTTGTGTCTGAGCCATGCATCCTGCCCCAAGCCCACCAGTCTTTCTGCAGCCCATCAACCTAAAGGTGCCAGGAAGACCTGCTGAAGAAGACCATCAGCAACAACAGCTGCAGGCTCAACTGCAAAAGGAAAATCCTGAGATTTCCCAGGATCCGCACAGACTCCAATATTTGTCTCCTGATAACATCTATTAGATATTTTTTTAAAGCCACTGACCCATTAAGAAGTCCCTGTTGCTTCTGGTAACATGTGACCAAGGAAAAAGAAAGAGCTTTTCCTTCTAGACTTGAAGGTGGGGCTGGTGAGCATCTAAAGTGAACAAAACAGAGATCTAGGTTGGCCACTGTCTGTGGCGCCCCACTCCCCACCACTCCCACTGAAGACCAAAGGAGAATCCCGGTCAGCAGCTTTGTGGTGTAGGCATTCTGTTTGACATGGAAGTGAGTACCACTCTGAATATCCAATAGCATAACCTAGTAGTCCTCAGCTGGAGGCGGCCCCCCGGGGACACTTGGCAGCATCTCTAGGTAGCTGTGGTTGTCAGCTATCTGGAGGTTGCTGCTGGCACCTAGTGAGAGACCCCAGGGGTGCAACCCTGCCCCAAAACATCCAGGGTGAGACACCCTGGCATCACCCCACAGCCTGGTGATGGTGATGGTGTTCGGCAGCCCCGAGCTGAGACCCCAGAGTCATTCACCACCCTCCCAACCTCTTGCTGCAGGCGGCTCTGGGACTGTAGCCCATGGGCGAGCCGCCTACCATCTTCACTGAAGGCTTCTGTGCAAGAGGTCAAGCCTTTACTTGCGATTAGAATTAAGGCTTCAACGCACATGTCCTGTAGGAAGCACAACAGGTCCTGCACTCTGATCCTAGTCTGAGTGTCCTGATAGGACAGGGGCACCATGAGGAGGAGAGAGGGATGGCCTGCCCTTCTCTGGGGGAGCTCCACAGTGTTTCCCAGACTCATTCTGGGAAGTATGACCCTCCCCTACTGGGGCGGGGGGGGGGGG